AGTCCCAAAAATATACGAATTAACACTAAGGTTATGATAGTTTTACTGAATAATATTCTATATAGAAAATATGTAGTAATCGCGTGTATGTACATCGAGCAGATAGGATCTATACATGTAAATCGAGCCAAAAGCGATGTATATGGTAAAAGAACTATATTACTTGCCGTTATAACACTTGTGTGAAATATATTTATCAATATCAGGTGTACACTAGAATAATAATGAAAAATAAATACTCATAGACGGTAGAGACGATCTTTTCTCTATAATTACAGTAAGATGTTTTTCGTTATGTTCTGACTACATGTAATGGATAATAGAATGTGTGTGGGATATGAGGTGCGTTCCGTTATATACGCTATTTTGATTTCTTTAGGTTCTTTCTCGAGTGAAGCATAGCTATGCACTAGAATAATTCTCAGATATTATTTGTTGGAGAATACTCCTTTGTTCATAATAGTAAATTAACTCACAGCTTTTTTCTGGCAGTATTGTGTATATTTTTATGATTTAAGTTAATGAGGGTTAATTATCGTCGTAGAGCGCGTGTTAATATGTGATTCGAGTTCGAAATAGGATCGGTTTAAGAGTGGAAATTAGTGGTATAATGTTAATTTGGCTCGATTTGGTTCAACGACAAATTAATGCATTGATAGTGTTGAGATCTCATTATAATTTTATTAATAGTAACAATGATTACGATTAGAGTTGTTATAGGTTACTGTCATGTCTCTTGAAATCATTAATCTAGATGAATTAACATAAATTTTTGATTAGAGTATATCAAATTTCGTGAAAGTGTTGTCGCGGGTTTGTTGTGTGTTGAGGTTAATTTTTAGATCATCGTGCTTATCATATTTGATTGATTTTGTTACGATGGTGAATTTGGAATGTTGGTTACGGGTGTATATATGTTTAATGACTACTGGTAATTGTTAGATCGATTAGGAGTGTGTGAATTTATATATTGTGCACTGTTATCTAGATATTGACTGATTACATTTTATTTCGTGTATTACTAATTACCGCGGTACTAGATAACTCGTCTTTTGATAACTCATGATCGTGTACGGGTGAGCGCATTGTAATACAAACTTTATTGTGTGTTCGAACAAGAATGCCATAAAACAGCTTCACATCAGTGACTTCTTAATGACGCGTCTGTCGTTATTGTCGTGCACTCAGTATACAGTTAAGTTTATATTTGTATAATTAAGGTGTATGTGTTATATTTTCTTTTTTATTAAGTGGGTTTTCATATTTGTATCTAGAGTAACGATCTTTTTGGTCGTCTGTGATTAGAACATTGAAATTTTGAGTAGATTGAAATTCGATTGCGAAGTTGTTTCTAGTAGGAATGAAGATTCCGTGGTATTTTAAGTAGCATCGGAATAGGTTTTAAGATTAGGCTAATGTCCCTACACTTGTTTGGTCGCGTACCTAGGTATTTCTGTGCTTTTAAAGATGAGGTTCAAATGCATGGTCAATTTTGACTAGGTCTGATGATAGTTTGCAGTTAACGGTGAGCTTATATTTATGATCGATTTACGGATCGGCAAAATTTGCCATTTTATCCCATTACGTTGATTGTTGTCTGATTCTCTTGGTGTCAAAGCTAGTATATGTTCATAGGACATTATGAAAGTACAGATTGGTTTTATGTAGGTATACTTATCTGTGATTTGGAATCGATAAAAATAAATATCAATTGATCTTACCTCTTGTGAATAAATCTAGTGTGGTTATTGAGTATTTTGATTAAGTGATGTAAACGAGTATATGCTTTATATTTTATGTTTGCTATATGGGCTAGATATCATATTTAATTTAAGATTAATCAAATTAAAGAAAGTTAGTGGGAGAATAATAGTATTTATAATTGTATATGTGGTTTGTTATTATAAGATTATAAAAATCTTCTAAAGGCATCATAATATGTCTCTAGTATTTAGATTATCGTTCTGTTACTTAGTACGATGCTTCGAATAGCCACTTTTTCGCAAGGATGTTTTCCTGCATAATGTTGTGTGTCACACAAAAAAGGAGGCCTTTGTGGGGATTTTTTATTGGCACGAGTTGATCAAATTCGTGGGATTTTTATAGTTTGGGTTATTGGGCTTTATGATGACTTGTCATATTGTTGCAGTTTGTACTAATTGTTCATGAATTTTTGACCACGTATAGATATAGGGAGCACATAACAAGGCGGAGACGTTTGGTAATAGGAGTTGTAGGTCAGTTTGTATTATTGCTTATTTGGATAGTGGTAATATCTCTCGATTACTATTTATTATCTTCATGCTTTCTTGTCTTAGCTCGCAGATATCTCTTTCTTGGGAACCAAAACAATATATTTATAAACATTGTGGGTATGGGCTCGGTCTATATTAAAATAAATTCTTGTGTAGAATGTATTCAGTTCTGGACGCGTCTAGTGAGCTATTTCCGATCGTATAAGGATTGAAAGAATGTAAGGTTACATATCCGGATGCAATTTCCTCAGAGTTCTAAAGGTCTATCTGTTTTAGTACTCTAATTTACACCGGCCACAAATTTCGCGCTAATAGTTAGTTATGGCTTGCAAGTATCAGCGGGGTTTTGGTCAAACATTGGTTATGTATACTCTGGTTAATGATTATATTTTCTTGTATCTCTCTCACTGTGCTAAAAGTTCAACTCAGTTCGAAATTTACGCTGGTGTGAACTGACCATTTTATTATCTCGCACTTAAGCCTCAGGCTAGAGCAGGCAAGTGGATGATAGCATTGGGATGAGGGAGTGTAGTAGCACTACGCATATGTGGCCTAGAGGCAGAATATCGCGCAGAGATAGTGTACTTATGTTTTGGCTACTGATGCTTTCTTACTGGTTTTGTAGTGTACGGATTTTTGTTTATCGCTCGGAATGGTTACTGAGTGGCTGGGTGGAGGAATGTCTCTAACAGAGACGAACGATGAAGCATCTATTGTAGATACGCATTGTTCCCTTAGAATGTGGGCCCCTTTTTGCTACCTAGCGGTACACTGTTTGACTGGCAACAGAACGTGATATCCACACGCCATGGGGGAAAATTGGTCCTTTACTCAACCAGAAGAACGTCACATGTTAAATTCGCTTTGCAAGATTTACATAAATGTTCATGTGCATAGTGACAAAAGCCTGCTCGCATATGAGTTGGAAGTTCCGTAAATTTTATTCTGAGACATCTGTACCATTCGGGAAACGTCATTCTTCGCCGGGTTGGGCCGACGTCGCGTTTCTTGACGCATGCGTGTCACGGGCGCCGCCCCGACGTGTGTGTGGTGGGAGGAGGAGGAGGAACGAGTTGGGGCTGGAGCACAAGTCGCTGGCGGGGGCGGCCGCCGCGCTCTGGTTGGGGGCGGGTGGCCCCGCGGGGCGTGGACAGTTGGCGGGGGGAGGGGCCGGGCGGGGGCGGGGCGAGGCCCCCTGCGTCGAGGCACAAGACGGAGGAGAGAGGGCAGCCTGCGGCAGCGGCGGCGACGGGCGGCGGCGGCTAGGGCGCGGCGGGGTCGGTGGCAGGCGTGGGGGTGGCGGGGGCGGTGCGGCGCGGGGCGCGCGCAAGTAAGGGCCCGCGCGCCGCCAGGGGCGCCGCCGTCGCGCAGCATCTGGCGCAGGCGCTCGCGCTCCAGCCAGCGGATAGCGCAGCGCTCCTCCACGGCCGAGGCAGGGTGGCAGCTGCTCCTGCGTTTGGCACAACAACAGCATGTTACATGGACATAACGCGCCCACTTTGGAATACCCTTACTGCTAATAATAATATATGTCTAAATGACGGGAGAGGTGGCTCAGGACATCCAGCTGATGTCACTGCGTCCTCTGACCGAATGTTTCTAGTTCGAGTTCCTGCGGTGGCAGGATTTTGCGACCCCGGCATGTATCTAGGTCGTCCGCTGTCTGGAGGAGGTGTTAAATGGTAAATGCCACTACGTACATATGAAGTACGCATTGCTTAAGAGAGCAATGGTATTTTCTTTGAAACTGATGTGAAAGAAATATACCCTTCAAACATGTTTAAATTAGGGTCGCGTCTGGAGGCAAGGCGCCTGCCTGAGTCATGGTGATTGGGCTCCCAAACCGCGTCAACGGGCTAACAAGATCAGACGTGGAAACAGGAATGTTTTGGGATATTGTGAGTTTTCAAGGGCAAAGTCCTCTGACAGTTATGTCAGTTTATTGCGTGCAGGGCATGCGAGTTTCTGGCGGGGGTGCGTAATGGCCTCGTAAATGCTCCCTGTTTCCAATATAAGGATCCTCTAGCGTTGATATCGGACAGACAGCCCAGAGAACTTTGCTGGGTCACTTACGGCTGCTCTGCAGCTCTATTTTTCAATTACATTTCATCACTTCATCGGACTTGGTCTCTGTTACTTGAACTCGCTGCACCACCCGACGCTCCTCCTAGGGAATTAGCTTCCCTGCGAGCGCCTGCTCCAGACGCGACCCTAATTTAAACATGTTTGAAGGGTGATATTTCTTTCACATACAGTTTCAAAGAAATATACATTGCTCTTCTTAAGCAATGCGTACTTCATATGTACGTAGGTGCATTTACCATTACACTCTCCTCCAGACAGCGACTGACCTAGATAACATGCCAGGGTCGAAAATCCTGCCACCGCAGGAACTCGAACCTAGAACATTCCGGTCAGAGGAACTGCAGTGACATCAGTTGATGTCCTGAGCCACCTCTCCCGGTCATGTAGACATATATATTATTTAGGCAGTAAGTGTGATTTCCAAAGTTGGGTCGCGTTATGTCCATGTAACAGTGCTGTTGTGTGCCAACGCAGGAGCAGCTGCGCACCCTGTCGGCCGTGGAGGAGCGGCTGCGCTATCGCTGGCTGGAGCGCGAGCGCCTGCGCCAGATGCTGCGCGACGGCGGCGCCCCTGGCGGCGCGGGGGCCCT